ATATATATATATATATATATATATATATATATATATAGGTCCGCCAGTAGACAGAGGCTAACATAGTTACGGCATAAATGTTTGTCCATCAATGTTGGCTGGTTTGGATAAAGGCTCGCTTTGACATATACTGCTCAAAGGCCTAATATGTTAAAAAACATTATTACCTAAACCCTCGACCGTCATTTCAATCAGAGGACATGGTCTGTCTCTCAACAGAACACCTGAAGCTATTAAAAGAGTACAGAAAGACCATTCACAGCTTTTGCCGGTTGGAGATTGTTGCCAGAATATATCCTGTTGCCTATTGGTTGAGCCTTCTGTCTTCCACGAGAGCCATCTTGGTTTATGAAGGTTCACAGCTCAAGGATGATATCATGCCAAGTAGCACATCCACCGTGCTCCATCCAGGATAATTGATTGGGACCCACCTTTAGTGCCATGACTTCTGGACTCATGAAGCCAGAGACTGGGCTGAATAAGACCCAGAGGAGTGTTCATAGATGCTGTCCTGTTCATCTTGGACTTCTCTCATGTCTCAAGTCCATCAACATCATCCTGGACTTTCAGGTGTTGGTGCTGAGAGAGGGGTCCTTTTAGGTAGTGGTCACACAACCACTTGGTATTTCCTATTAAAAAATCCAAGCTGTTCCCTGCACGGACAAAAATTCATAATATTAGAAGCCCTCTATGCCTTGGTTTATAAACATGCCATCACTGTTGCTGTGTTTCTACTCTCTGCTATCCCGGTTGTGTCTAGGCCTTTGCTATTCCGACTTCTTTCCTTATCTACATCTAGCATTCTGATTTTAGGTAGAGCAGTCTTTGTGCTCTCTTACTGAGTTAGGCAATTATGAGTTAGGTAATTATGCAACACGGTAGGTGTCTCAGCATAAGTCTGCCTCCTTAATAACACTTTGATCTTTCAATCCAATCTTGATTTATAAGCAGGTTTTGATAAGATAGATAACAGCCAGTAAACAAGTTGATAAAAAAGGCTGTTCCTTTTCTGGCATCTGTTCTGAAGGCCTGGATATCAACATAAGCGCCATTTACACTACTTTTTTTAAAACTGTCCAAGCAGCGTAACTGAGATAACTTTTGAGTTTAAATGGCAAGCAAAAACTGAAGCTGACAGTGCAAGACACTACCGAACCACGCTAAACTTGTACTAGTTCATCAGTAGGTATCTGCGCAGTTCATTTGTGGCTCAGTTCTCAGATAACAAAGAGCGCATGAGCAGACTGTCATGTCCTTACAGCCAGCCTCTGTAATCTCAAACATTCATAAAAATACTAGCTTCCTTACCTTGCCACACGATTTCCATTGACGATTCCACTTAGCAGTGTGATGAACCTCAATGTCTGTCGTTTTCTGTGTTTTTACAACTTTTAGTCCAATTAGGACACCTGTAAAATATCTACCTTCTTACCGCACCTTCATGTTTGCAGTTTCCTGCAGGCAATCCTCCTTCTGGTCTGTGCAATCTTGTACTGCTGTGGACGGAGGGAATACGTCGGGCTCCTTGTGCTGTCTTTAGCCCTTGCCTGGATTAATGTTTTGTATTACACAAGGGGTTCGAAGCAGCTGGGGATCTACAACGTCATGATGCAAAGGGTAAGAATTTAGCACCAGGTACAGTAACAACTGTTTGGTGAGATCCTATCTTCCTTGTTGACAATTTGTTCATGTTTAGATGATCCTGGGTGACCTTCTACACTTTTTAATGGTCTACATTGTCCTGCTTTTTGGATTTTCTGCCGGTAATATTTCTAAATACGAGAAATTCAAAATACTCTGGGATTCTGTCTGTCGCCACTTCTAACTTGCACGTATCTTCATTTTGCAGCTGTTTGTACCCTGATTGACGACTCAACTGAACAAAGCAATGGAACATTTCCCAGAGGAAGGACCTTCAATGTTGAAACATTCACATGCGAGAAACCGACTTATAATGATATCCGTTTTACCACACTGGAACTGTTCAAATTCACAATTGGAATGGGGGATCTAGAATTCACTGACCACGTTCAGTACAAAGAAGTTTTCTACATCCTGCTCATCTGCTATATCGTCCTCACTTATATTCTGATGCTAAACATGCTCATCGCTCTGATGGGCAACACGGTGGAGAGAACTTCAGAACAAAGTGAACCCATCTGGAACCTGCAGGTGAGAAGGTTTACTTTGACAAATGTTTAAAAAGATTAAATTTAGGTTTCAGTTTATCGCCTAGTGCTGTGAATGCTACAGCATGCTTAAAACTGCAACATGAGAAATGCACATTTTAGGACACTGTGATCAGAACATTTATTCAAACAAAGCAAAAAATATACATATATAAATGCAAATTAAGATTTGTTTGAAGTAGTTGGAGAAATGTTTTGCTGCCTTTTCCAGAGAGCTTTTACCATTTTGGAGATGGAGAGGACTCTGCCACGGTGGCTGAGGTCAAGGCTGCACTCCAGAGATTCAGACATGGTGTGCTTCAAAAGCGACGAGGGCAAGTCTCGTAGATTTGTCAGGTGAATTTTGATGGACCTGTTTTATTCTATTTAATTCAGTGTATTTAAATAGTGCCAATTCCCAATACGTCACCTCAAGGCACTTCACAGTTCACCAGATCATACAGTCAAAAT